GACACTGGAGTTGTCATAACAACGAAATAGCTAATAGCGGCTATTGCCTATTTTACTTGCAGTAGTTTATCTCGGTACTGGAACCTGTTCTTCCAAAATCGTTCGCGGGTGCGTTTTCCTCCAATAGAGGCCTCTATGTTCGTGAAGTTTAAGCGAAATCTGTAAGAGCGTTATCGACATATTTTGGGATAAAGTTTTTATGGTTAGAAATACGGTAAAAAATGGACAGTCTTGATGTCGGCTGTTATCTGTAGAAAACGAAGCGCTTTTGACATGCAATTTCACCTCATAGTAGTTTTAATCTTTTTAAAAACATATGTGAAAGATCATGGAGATAGCTCCAGTCGATTGCGAAAGAAGGATTTGATTAGTATGTATCGAGGCGCTCTTTGTTAGCGGTTTGTAAACATTTTGGTCTACTTTAACAAATTAGCGAATAATTTTTAAACCACTCGATAGATTTTTTTTAAAAAAAATAAAATTCTTGAGATTAATCCTCCTTTTATATGACCTTTTGGTTTCAAGATTTTTGATATATTGTAAGGCAGTAAAATAAGGGCAATAATTCACTAATATTTTGTCACAATTTTGTGTTTACAAGTGAGAGCCTCTCATTATTCAGGGTACTGTCTCCAAGTTTTTTTGCATCATATTTCAAATGCATTGTTAGTTACTGCTGTTCACGTGAAAATGAAAGTAGGAGACAATACCTTGAATAATGACAGGCTTTCACTTGTAAACACAAAATTTCTGACAAAATATTAGCGAATTGTAGCCCGTAGCCCGTAGCCCTTATTTTACTGCCTTAAAATATATAAAAAATCTTGAAACTAAAAGGTCATATAAAAGGAAGGTTAATCTCAAGAATGTTGAATTTTTTTAAAAATCTATGGAGTAGTATAAAAATTATTCGCTATTTTGTTAAAGAAGACCAAAAAGTTTACAACACCCTGATAAGAGCGCTTTGATACGTACTAATCAAACCCTTCTTTCTAGCAATTGGCTGGAGCTATCTCCATGATTTTTCACACACGTTTTTAAAAAGATTGAAACTACTATGAGGTGAAATTGTATGTCAGAAGCGCTTCGTTTTCTACAGATAACGGCCAAACATCAAGATTGTCCATTTTTTATCCTGTTTCTAACCATAAAAACTTCATCCCAAAATATCTCGATAACTCTCATACAGATTTCGCTTAAATTTCACGAACATCGAGGCCGATAATGGAGGAAAGCTCCTGTGGATGATTCTAAGTGCCGAGATAAACTGCTGCAAGTAAAATAGGTAATAGCGTCATTTCGTTGAGATGACAACTCCAGTGTCATTGCAGCCCTGATCATAACAAATTTTCATCTTTATCTAATACAACTGTGGTGGCAATTTTTCCAAATCCTTGTTAATATGAAAACGTAGTTTACGCTCAAACTTGTGAGGTATTAACCCTGAAAAACTGTATCGAGCCACCTTAAAACAATATTACATGTACGTTATTAACCTACCTGGTGGGGGAATCCACGATATATTGACATAAAACCTGTTGGTGTTTCGAAGCTTGTGCAAAGCTATAGCTACGTCTTCTTCAGCTATAGCGAGGAAATTTCCTTCAGAAATATTAAAACAGGGGCCTTTTTGGACACGAAGTTCACACATTTCTAAAAAAAGGTAAATAAATCATTCAATATATAGATTTAGCGAAGCTCCCAGTAATAAATTCATAATTTAAATCAAACAATAATCCACAAATCAGTTAACTTAAGGGCACATTCATGTGACTTTTGAGGGAAAGGGTAAGTGATTTCCGAGTGAAACATCTTACGTCGAGTTGATAGCCTTATATGTACACCCAAAAAATAGCAATCATCTTGGAAAACAAATTATTGGAAAACAGAATTTTTTGCGTTCGACCAGTTTAATTTACGAGATCTTACCAACAAATCTAGGGGTTTGTAAACCAACCTTTTGTACTTTTTATACATCACATCTGAAGTGAAACAGTACTATGAGGCGCTGTATTTATCATACAGACCTCGGACAGAAAGCAGTATTTCACAACTTTTCAAGACAAATTGCACGCAGTCCATATTCAGGACAAACAATCGTGGGCTTTTAGCGATACTGTTCCAAAAAAATTCCAAAATCACCTATACGGCCAGCCGGTTCTCACTTTTGACAAGCTGTGGTCGAGTGTTTGAATAAACATTAACAGTCACGCTTCAACATAATAAAGAATTATGTTTATTATTGTTCTTTATTTAATGGTTTCATAACGATGTGTAATCTTAAAAAGCGTTTGATACGCGCGGCATTTTGAGAAATTCTTCTAGAGATTTAGTTCATGAACGACTAAACACAAACAGCTCAGCAATTAATATTGCAAGAGAGACTACTAACGATCAATAGAAGAAATATAATTCGGTGAAACATTTACAGAGACAACAATTTTCATTCACGAAGACAATTATTAAAGTGTTTCTAAAAACCCTGAGTCTTTAAGCTTTTTTAAAGCTTAAGTTAATGTTTTAAGGCGGCTTCCCGGTGTTTGCTTTTTTCAAAGATGAACTCAACGAGGTAAGAAAATCGCTCAAAGTCTTCTTTGTACAGCCAAATTTATAACTAAATATTCTTCGGAAAGTTTCTCTCTATTTGCAGTGAGAAAATACATCTAAAGGCTTCTTTAAGTTCTGTAAGCTTATATCAAACCTGTCAGGTCATTGTCTCAAATCTTACAAACGTGCATAAACTTGCCTCATAAACTGTGCTTGACTACATGAAATTAGATATAAAAAAAACAAGCATCAAATACAATAATCACTGAGGCTTACCATTCGAGAAGCAATTCCCAAAGCAATCAAGTAAGGCCAGAATCGCTTGAGACTTTTAAACCCTCTTACGCATCAAGCAAGATTAAAAACAAAAACATTGGTTTCCTTGTGGTGCGGACGGACGGACGGTCGGTCGGTCGGTGCACGGTCACGTGATTATCAAATTTTCTGGGACGGGTAGATTTATTTAGCTATAGGGCTGCGCCAGCGCGCGCGCGTGGAGCTCCCCGAAAATTGAAAACAAGATAAAACGTTTTTTACATAGAGGAAATTCCACTGTTAGACAGGACTGTTCAGTTAGGTCAATCATCGCCTTTTGATGTGTAGTATGCAGGGTAATAATGGGCTTCGAGCGAAAGCTGTCGGAAAAACCTTGTCTTCATTCAATTTCCAAAATCACCCGTTTTGACTTTTACCAAAAAAAGCGCCATGTTCAGTGTGAACTGTCGAGTGTATGAATGGACAGTACCCGGTAATATGTATACGCTTCAAAATAATAAGAAAAAGAGCGCTTTTATTTAAAAAATCGAACACAGTTAGTACAAGGGGCCTCAGAATCATTTTATTTTTAATTTTACTTCTAAAGTACCATAATGTTCACGCTCCTGCATGCGATGTTCATGTACGACTGAAAACAACCGGCAAAGCGATAAGAAAGAGATCTTGACAAACAATCAAGAAAGATATTACTCAATGAAACATTTTAAAAGACAACAACTTCTATTTACGAAGACAAGTTTTGGGAGTAAAGTGTCTTTGAAAATACTGAGTCATGAATAAAAATCGTGCAGATTTATCAAATAATGCTTATTCAGTGAGTTTTAAGCCGGTTTCTGGTGTTTGCTATTTTTCAAGATGAACTCGAGGCAAGAATATCGCACAAAGCTTTAATTCTTTTTACACTCAACAGGATCACTGAATTAATTCTTCAGACCTCGGTTTTCTTTCTAGTCGCGGTCAGAAAATTTCTAAAGACTTTTTAAGTTCTGTATATGAAAGCTGATACTAGGTCAGATCTGTTGTCTCAAATCTTACAAACGTACGTAAAGTGACGGCATAAAAATGAAACCAGAAACAAAACAAAAATCAAATGCAAAAGAAAATGTGCAACAAGAACAGTTCTAATCTGTTTAATCATTTAAGAAAGACGATTAGTGTGTTCGATTTATGATCTTTGATTATTAACTGTCTCTTTTGTTGTTGTTGTTGTTGTTTTATACCGGCTCCGTTGTCGTTTTTTTTTTTTTTTTTTAAACAGGTTAAATGGCGAAAACTAGATGAACGTACCTCGAAGCAAGAGTTTCATTAAGACTTAACGGTTACTTCTTTTTTCCTGAGACGGCAGCTAAGTATTCTCAGCACCGTAAGTGACAGGAAATAATAACGCCGAAATCATAAAGAAATCAAACCAGACAGAAAAAAACAATAGAAATAACCAACCTCACCTGAGGAAAAGGCCCTGAAAGGCAGTAAATTAGGTCAGTTAAGCCTTCATGCATGAGCTTTCAAAAGCGCTGCCAAGATAAGCTTAAGTTATGAATCCGCTTGTACGCCTTTCTTCAACCACAAAAAAGATAAACAAACTATCAAACCAACTATGAACAAAGAAAGAATCTTGACAGCGGCTGTATTTCTTGTTGCGGCAGCATTGAAAGAACACAAAAAGCTTAAACTTTTTATACATGACGGTAAACAAACTTCAAGATGCTGCATAAGTTTTTACGCATGAATTCACCTGTCAAAACTTTGACCAATCTGTGACCAAGGTAAAAGCACACGCTAAAAATATATATTGTTCACAGTTTTTGTCATAAATCAAACAAACGAAATTCAAGAACTACTCTAGAAAAACTCCATTGGCTGTCTCTAAGTGAACTTCAACCACCTTGATAATCTTTTGCCAAGACAAACGCAAGCTGCGTGCTTTGGATTCCTCGTCTCCCTTGCAGAGTCTACTAAGTACCATCCCAGAGTCTACTTGTTACCACCCCCAAAGAGTGTACGGACGTACTGGCGTACGGTCACGTGATTGCCCAAATTTCTCGGATGGATAGATTTCCAGATTGTCTTAATGAAATTTAACTACATAGCGCATGATAACCGATCAAAATCAATGAAAAAGTAGTGATGTATTTTAATTTAAAAAGTTTTTTTTTTCTTTTTGGAAAGTTCATCATGCTTTCGGGCTTCCACTTTCCGATGATTTCATTCAAAGTTGCAACCGATCATGTTTTTGCTTTGGAATCTTTCTCTCACATTAAAAAATATTTCAAGACTGAGATTCTTGCATTTTGTTATTGACACTCAGTCCTATTGTCATTACTAATATACCTTACAATCATGAGGATAAACGCTTCTCTCTTTAAACGAATCATATCAATTAAACGCCCAGGCTTGCAACCCTAAAATTAAATAGACGTCTCGGGCGTTTATTAGGTCATTTACGGCAGATAAAATAAGAAAACAAAATAAAAGCACATTTTAGTTACATAAGGAAAGAAACGAGGCTATAATAGACCTTTTTTTTTAAAGTGTCTCCATAAAGTGTTTCTATTATGAAAAAAAGAAAAGAAAAGAAAATGAAAGAGAAAGAAAAAAGAAAAAATACACAATGGTGTTCTGTTATTTTTTCCTTTCATAATTTGTAAGCTGTATCTATGCACTAGCTAGCTACTACTTTGTAGCGTTGTCTTATAGGATAGCATACAAGCCTAAAAAGGTAAACTCCATATGCTGGACTCGTTCGATAATCGGGAATTCAAAGTCAACAAGAGAAAATGAAGTAAAATAAATAAATAAATAAATAAATAAATAACCGACTCACTTTGAACAGTCTCAGCTCGTTTGAATCTCTGAAAAACCTGGCTTTTCTTGTGTTTTTCAATCAAGTCTTTCTTTCCTGTAAACAAGAAAAAGGTATGAAATTCCAATGCGCAGAATGATAAGACAAGAGGGAAATAGAAAAATCTATGTTGATGATGATGATGATGATGATGATGATGATGATGATGATGATGATGATGATGAAATGATAATGAAAAGATGAGTTTGTACTGGGAAGAATCCGCTTCACTTGTTCAGAGTGCGGGAATGTCAAGACTTGTATGCTGCAAATAAATGAATTATTTCTATGCTGTCTTCCCTTGAAGTCATTTATTACTGAATTTTGTTTCGATCGATTACCGGAAATGGCTGCCATCAAAGAAATTTTTCAACTTTTACCTATTTCTAGTATCTCTTGGCCAAGTTTATTTTGTTTTGGTTTTGACCTTAAACAATCACAGGGCATGAAACCGATATCCAGAAATGGTTACGGCCCGGACTGGTTAAGACGGTTTATAGACCCGATAGCTATGCCATGCTGATGAGCGCCCATGGCTGCCACTGCCCGGGTGATATGGCTGTGTGCATGCGTGAGGTACTGGCCAGACCTTGGGTTGGTGCATGCGTGCCCCTTGCTTTAAGTTTGTCTTATTTTAGGTGTTATTAGTCGAGGCGAATAACACTCTCCGAGGTCTGCATAATTATTCGGATCATACGAAAACCGAAAGTAATTATCGTGCTATTATTTATTCAAAAAAATTCATACTTTAAAATAATACCTTCGTCGATTGATGTTTTGGTGGCCGTTTTATGTTTGCCTATTCCTCAACAAATTCGTGTTATTTAGCAATATATTATTAGCCAAAGGCGAATTTAATATTTGAGACAAGTGGACAATCCCCGAGACGAAGCCAAGCGGACATATTATTATACAATATTTCACTGAGCATGAGTTTGTGAATAATTGTTTTAGCACAATAACTCGCAGACAGGTGATATATTGGAGAGAAAATGAGAAAAACCGTAGTTTAAAAGTTCTTTCTTTAAGCCTTACTTGTCATCCAAATCCGGGTTAGCAAACCTAAACCCACCGTAAAAAGGGTAAGGGGAAAGGGGGATGCATCCCACCCACTTTCGTTCTTTTCAACTATAAAATGGCATTTAATTTTGTTGTTTGATTTTTCCTGTTAACAACAGTGTATTTCTATAAAGACGATTGTTCTTCTGCCATCGTAGCTTGAATAAAAAAATAAAACACAAACAGTGGTAATACTGTCAACGTTGTGAACTTTCGCATTTTTAATTAATTTGACATTTATTTTCAAAAGTGCACAACAAAAGATTTTTTTTTTTTTTATCTTGTTAACATCAATATTTTCACCTTGACTCCAAACTGATTATTCTAAAACAGGATGACTTCACTCTCGCAGATATTTTTTAAATAGAAGTTTCATCTGTCGATTTGTTTTATATATTTATGCCTCTGTGTGATTTTGCTAAAAGGTGCCCGCTAAGTTTTCGCGTCTTGCTAGATGTCAGCAGAGAGCCCAGGCCGGAACCTATCCGTGGGTGGGTGGCTTCCTTGTTTGTGTGAAAACCAGGGGGGTAGGGAGGGACGATTTTGTCACTTCGATTAGAGTTTTATGTCAGAAAGCAGTGCAAAGTCAGAGAATTTTTCCTGTGGCCTAGGCCAGTCAAATCAATGCGGTGACCCATAATCATAACACTACTAGCAGAGCTTGGGAGAAGTGATTGACTAGTCATAAGCTTCATGGGTAGGGAGGGTCAGTAGTTGCTCCTTGGATTTGGCCGTCTGGAGACTCAGACTCAGAGTACAGACTCAGTTTGTTTATTTATTTATTTATTTATTCATTATTTCTTTCTTTCTTTTCTTCTAAATCATTGGATAATGTAATTCTAGAATCTTCATTCCCTTAGATACCATACATTGTAGTATATTGACTCATATTCAATGCCCTCAAATTAACTAAAAACATTTCTGCAAGGAGGAATAAATGGAAAAAATACGTGTATCTTAGAACCTCGCGAGGCTAAAGTTAATAATAAAAACAATAATAGTAATAATAATAATAATAATAATAATAATAAATTAAAAATTGATAATAGGAATTTTGGACACCTATTAACAGATACTTAATCTAATACATTATCGAAATTTTATTTACATACCTTAGACGTTCCCATAATTAAATGGATAGCTATATGAACGATGGGTTTCAACTTACGAACATTTTCATTTTGTAATTAAGACGTGCATAAAGCTTTTAGGTTTTTATTTATTTATTAATTTATGCAATTTTTATGACACTCTTATCAAATCATTTTTACCCAGGTTTTTATTTATTTATTTATTATTTATTTTTTTTGAAGCAAATTATTGTGTAATCGTTACCATAGATTTTAGTCGATGCTGCGGCTGGTTACGGTTTACTGGCCAGCCAAAGCTTTTATTTTTTACTCTGGGCATCCAGACGTTTGCACTGCCATAATAATAATAATAATAATAATAATAATATTATTATTATTATTATTATTATTATTATTTAAAACTCTGGACCGCCTGCAAGAGTTACTGATCGCATCTGAGCATCTGAGCCGCAAGGACTGTATTTGGGAAATCGTTATTGACACTGCGATTGTATTTTTTAAGATTTATATTGTTCTTAATGTTATATAGTGCTTAATTTTTACTTGAACGATTTCTGTAAATTGTGTACATATTTTTAAAGATGAATAAAATTTATTTGTTATTAAAATAATAATAATAATGATGATAATATTGCCTCTGCCAGCTACTACTCACCAAGCGTTCGTAGGCACTCGTCGTAACAGGTCTGCCTTGTAGATATCTGTAAACCACAGTTACATAAAATCATCAACAAGTGTAACAACATGTGTATGTAGTTCTTGAAAATATCGATACACCCCCCCTCCCTTGTCCCACGGAGCTTTTGCTTTGTAGACTCCCCACTTTTACTTATCATACCCTTTCCCCCCACCCCCTGGAATTTCCATAATTTGTCAACTTGGTTGGGTACCCCCCTGGAAAGAATATTTGTTTAAAAGATGTTGTTGCATTATATTATTATGCGAAATTTTTTCTGCGATAAAATGAAAAAGAACCTTTCCATTCATTTTAATACGGTGTCTAATAATCTCAATGACTTTGTTAGCTAATAATTTACCATAGAGGCGATACCTTACACTACCGAATACATGAATAATGTCATCTGCAAAAGAACCAGTTACATTCAACCTAAACACAATGTGAACTTTCATTACTTCATGTCAGTTAATTGGAACATGTTACAAGAAGGCTGAGAACCCGACCACATTACGGTGAATCAAATGTATAATAAAGCAATTCAACAGGTAGATAACCGGAAGTTCAGTTATTCCCAGCGATGACAAGTGTATCAAAGAAAACTATCGCATAAGCTGTGAAAAAAGCATCTCGTCAACTGTAGGTAAAAGATGATCAATGCGGCAATAATAATTGTTTTGAAACAACGGTAACTGTAAAATAAATGATAGCTTGCTCAACAGAGAAGCTGTTTTTCATTAATAACTCACCAACCTTACTCAAACCCCCTGGAAAAACCTCTTTAAGCAGCCCCCATCCCCTCGGATATTGCCTCCTTTTGGAACCCCCTTCCCTCGGAATTTCCGTTGCCCTCCGTGGCGGGATATTTTTTGGAACTATACATTATTAGTAAAACCTGCTGGAACAGTGAGAATAGTAAGATTTGAAATAACTTGAAACTTTTTAACGGTTAATCTTAATCCACACTTTTAACGGGTGACGGGTGAAAAAAATACCTTTTACGATGGATGACGGTTAACCCGATCATACGAAAGCCGAATTCAGTTACTGTTTTATCTTACCCATTTAGAGTATTTCTATATTCTCTTAAAACTCCCTCAACTGCCCCCCCCCGAGAGTAGACTGCTCAAAGTCCCCTATTTTCCCGTAAGATCGTCGAGATCGAGCGCTATGCGTTACGGCCGGCCATCTTGGATGAGTACGTACACACATGCATACATGCATACATTGTTCACTCGAAGGACAATGCCTCCAATGAAATGTAATCTACCAGGCCACTGTAACCACAGCGACGACGACTGAAACTTACGTCGGACGAGCAACAAACTTTAAGGAACGTTACAGAAATTATCAGTGAGTCCTCCTTTCGACGTTCGAACAGAAGAAATGAGACGGAATTCTCAAAATATATTTGGACTTTACAAGACTCTAAGAAACCTTTCCAGATAAAATGGAAAGTTTTAAAGAAATGTAAACCCTATAGCAACATTAGCAAAAAATGTAATCTTTGTCTTTATGAAAAATTCATCATCATTTGCAAAAGAGAGCTTTGTAGCCTAAACAGGGGAAACGAACGAGCGAGTTCATGCCCCCACAGAAACAGATATGTATTTCAGAACTGTAGAGTAACTTAACTAAGACGCAATTCATCTGTTACCTAGATACAATCTCTTAACCGGCATCCCTATAAACGTACCACCCAAATTTTACTGCCAGCTTTTAATCTTGACGGCCAATCGATGAAGTTGGCTGATGCCGGTGTGGTCCTACCATTTCGGACCATACGAAACAGCACGTCGCAATAAACGATCGAAGATTACTCCTGACGCCTGAACTCCTGTGATTCTTAATACATATATGCATACGTACATGTTTGTCAAAACTACCTAGGGGGCGGGTTTGGAAGGAAGCGAGAAAAGTAGAAGGGCTGTAATAACATCACTGCAGCTCGCGTTCAAGAGCACGCCTTTTGCCATTCATTAATTAAAAAACTCCGTTGGCGATGAAAAATAATATCGGCAAACATGCACAGGTGAAACATTTACCCCTAACTTGTATATATATATATATATATATATATATATATTGTTTACCCTATATTTCCAGGAAGCCCATAGTTTATAAGCCCCCGGCTTCTATGTAGGTTTCCTTGCCTTTACCACATTTGATCTTGTAAATAATTTAGTTGGAATATTTAACAATTAATGAATGAGGCTGAGTATCTTATGAAGAATTATGGAGATCAAGGAGAATGTTATCCGTCGAGGCCGTAGGCCAAGGCGGATAACACCCTTCGAGATCTCCATAATTCTTCATATGATAGGAAAGCCGAATTCAATAACTGTTTTATTATTCATTCAAAATAATTCCTAGTTTAAAAACAAAGCTAAAACATGCTTACCTCCATCGATGTTAAGTTAACCTTCTATAGTGCACGTTTAGGGTTTTTCAGCCCCCCAAATGTTCTCCAAATAGCAGATGTCGCCCTTCGAGTTGTGTTCTTGCTGTTCTTGGCATGTTTTTAGCTATAATTTTGCCTAGTTCTGACTCTTGAAACAAGTGAAATGTCCGCCATTTCTTGTTTTCACAACCAAAACAACTCAACCTCGTCCCCAGGTCTTCTCGGTTAACGGTGCCTTAACCTGCAAGAACGCTGCATTTTTGACTTCATTTCCTCGTTAAACACAAAATTCTTCCAAATTTGGTCATCAGTAACTGGTTATGGTGAATTATGCGTGTGCTTTTAGGCAATCAGAATCGGAGAAATACTTTGAATGAATATTATCTTTAATGTATTTCTTTATACTTTTGTTGTATTTCTGGCAAAATAAAATGAATGAATGAATTTCCCTAATCGAAGCGCTAATCATTCTCACTTCAGCAACGCTTAACTACGGATTAAAACGGTTAAACCTCCCGATAAAAAGCCAGGCATTTCTAACAGCAATTTCTTTGGCAGAAAGTGTGTTACAATATTTCCCTGGCCGGGCTGCTTCTAGACTGTTCACAGTCTAGAAGCAGTCATTTTCCCGTAAGATCGTCAAGATCGACCGCTTTGCGTTGCGGGCTGCCGTCTTGCATGAGTATCAAAACTACTTAGTGGGAAGGAGGCTGTCTGGGAGGAAGCGAGAAAAATAGAGGGACTGTAATAACATCATTGCAACTCGCGTTCAGGAGGCGTGACAGGAATTTCACGCCTTTTACCACTCATTAATTAAGAAACTACGCTGGCGATGAAAAACATGCCAGACACATTTAGCATCGATTTCGCGTGTTTACAAATATCGTCTTTCAAAAAAGTGACTTTATACAGTTTCTGGAACATTCCTCGAGGTAAAATTGGCAAACATACACAGGTGAAACATTTTCCTAATCGAAGCTCTAAGCATGTTCGCTTCACCACAGATTAAAATGGTTAAACCTCCCGATAAAAAGCGAGGCATTTCTGACAGGTCGTCATTTTGCGTAGGCGTAGCGTTAAATTCGCGGCAGAAAATTCGCGGCACCAGCCAGGTGCTATTTTCGCCCACTCAGTCTACTTTCATTTCAGATCTAATTCAGTCTATATCTTAGCTTGTTGTCACACCGTTGACCGTTCATACTGAAAATCTTAAAAAAAAATCAATAAAATGAAGAAGACCATAAACTTAAGCGAGAGGGTCAATTGTAAAAATATGTCTAGCCAGAATTTTATCATACAGTGTCACCGGTATTGCTTGCTAAGATTTCATAGACTGATGGGTCCTATCTAATCCTAAACCGATAACAGTGTTTGACGTTTTTTTTCAAACATCAAACAAATTTAAAAACCGATAGGCGATCATCTGAAAAACCAATTACTGAAATTTCAATTTGTCAAAAACATGCTTTTTGTTTCAATTAAAAAGCGGAGGTTTTAGTGAAAATATTAAATTACAATGTGGAATAATACGATGTCGAACCGCCGACCACAATAACTGAGTTACCGCTTAAGGTTATTCCACTGAAATGGAAGCAACACTGAGATTTTTGTCAAACTTACCCTATGAGAAATTCAATACGTGGACTGAACAAATGAAATAAAAAATCAGAGCCCCCATGCTACCTGTACCAAACCAAACACTATTTCTAACATTTTAATTTGATGCATCAGCATAGTAACTATTAATAACTATGCTAAAAACAGATAAATTTCCTTTATCAATTATAGCAATATATTTCATTTATTTATTTACTTGGTGCTAAAGAAGGAAAAGAAAATTGTCTGAATTGTTAAGGATGGCATTAAAAAGCCAGAGAAGTTCAGTATTGCTTGTTAGTTCCTATACTTTATGGAAAACAGAAAGGGGTTTTTCTAATGCTTTAAATTTATAAACATAATTTGAGCGCGTTTCTTGTTTTGAATGTTTGATCTGCGTCTCTGGTTTTCAATTATTTCTTTCCCAAGGAATAATTGATTTCTCACCTTGGTATTGGTAACATCTGGCGCGGCAAAATGAAAACAAGTCCCAAAGCACTTCTGCATAGTTTTCTGTTCTTGTCCGTAATCGTTTAGATCTTTATCGGCATTGCATAGTGGGAATTCCATGCAGAAAATCAAGCATACAACGAATGTGATACGGTAGATTGCAGAAGCCGCCATGGCTTGTCATGGCCAGAAATCTCTGACGTCGAGTTTCGTGCGACTTACATTTCGGCTGTCCTGATTCCGGGCTCATATTATTTAAAAAGATCGAGTGGTCAAATACGACGATGTTTATCGTCAAATAGATGCCGCTGTTCAAAAATATTGGGAAAACGAGAAATGGCGATGAAATATTTATCGAAAAAGCTTTCAAAGAGAAAATTTGAAAATTGGAGAAAATTTGGATGATTTTTGTAGAGCGATGAAGCGTAACATGTCGACCTGTCTTCTCGGGACAGGTTGTTTTTAACAGCCGAAAGGAAAGGTAAATTTACATGCTGAAGATCAGATGTTTTACTTTTATTTGGCAAATTATGTAAAATCGAGCTTCCACTCGCTCTCTTAGGCATGATGGAATATTTCTCCTTTTCTAACTTCATATATCCGTGCTTTGTGCTACTCTGAACTGTTTTTAAAGGCAATTAGCAGGGCGAAGAAATCAGCATCGAACGTGAAAATTGGTCAAATAGTGCTTCACACGGTGCTCTTCCTCAAGCGATCGCGGCACTTGGGATATCCCGATTATGTTGTCTGTTATGGCCGATCAACATCTGTTTGGGATGCAAATTTTGGATTTCAAGCCTCTGTAATATAGAGCATTGTATGAGCCAAGCTTCGAAAATAAACATCGATGAAAAGCAGGGTAAGTAACATTTGTTGATGAAAAGCAACTTATCAGAATAGCGGAGGAAACTTTCAAGAACTCGACCGCATCGCGGCACTTGTCCCCGGTAAGCCAGAACTTGCTCTCTGCCATACATTTCCTTTGCGTGTTTGGCGGCCATATTGCCAAGTAATCCCGCGCGTGCGGAGGTGACACAAACTCCAGGAAATTGTCTTGAATTCACTTTTTTTCGTGATGATCAGGAAAACCGTTTTTACTTGCAAAATCGGGAGACTGATTCAGTGGGTCTTTTATTGCTCTAGTATGACTTGACGATGACCAACTCCGGAAAGGTCAAAAGTTTCGTTTCTCAAAAAAAAAAAAAAAAAAAAAAAAATATATATATATATATATATATATTTGAAATTCAATTTACTTGATATAAATTTTTTCAGTCGTGGAGTGTATTTTTTATATACAGAAATTGCTAGAAAGAAAACGGACTAAGATTCAGACGACATTGAATTGAAAAAGGTAAAAAATATGAATTTCCTAAACCAGCTGATTGAAAGATCAAGTGCTGTACTGTCAAACGCGAGTCAATCTTGGCATCTGTGAGGTATGTTTCTTTTGATTTCGTTGTTCACTGATTGAAAAAAAAATCAGGGCAATCAATACAAAAAATCCGATCTTAGGCTACTTAATATTAGGAAAGGAGCATTTTATTTGGAGAGGCGGAGGGAGAAGGGAGGCTGGGCATTTTTTTTCCATATATATATACCTGGATTTTTGAAAACCGGGTTAGCAAAAATATCAAGTCATTCTACTACTTGGTAATTTAAAACAACAAAACTCATTCAAAGGCCGATTAAAAGTCTTTATATGACGCCGGGCAGTGCGTTAATGGTCTCTAGAAGCATTCCAACGAGTCCAAATTTAGAATGACGCAAATTTTAGAACATTTATTCAGTAAACTGACTTCGCGAAGTTTCAAACCGGTGTCATTTCAGTCTAGAAATTTTTAAGTTGAGTGAGCTGCAGCGAAAGAGTGCCTGGTTAAGGCTTACATGACAACTTAAATAGTTAGCAAAACACCACTTTTTGGGCGGTCCGATAAACAACAGGATTCCGCATGGAATAGACTACAAACTGAATGAAACATAGTGTACAAATTATCACCTTCTTGTCTGCAAAAACCGGCCTATGGTGCAATGCCATTAGAGCCTGCTGAAACTAGACCTAGATCTAATTTTCCTGAGTCGAGAGTTGCTTTTCCAAGGTACAATCAGCTAAGCTAAACACCGACGAAACAATATTAATGGCTGGCACAGAATATTTTGGCGAAACCGCAGTTCAACCACGCAATCACATACCTGTCAACAGCATGCGGAAATCACACAATCACACACTTTCGCGGCACTGATAAGACTATCCACAACCACGCATAATCTTCTCACGTTTAACATAAGCGAAATATCATCGAATAACTCGGAAAAACTCAGCCTATTGCCAGATGAACACCTCTGGACCTTTCTCTTACACTCGTCTTATTCAAGTTCCCGGATGTACAGTCACACGGTCGGCGGATCACCTTAGCCTTGTTTTCACACCAGAAAAATACTAAGTCTTGGCCCGGGTCAAAGTTCAGCTGCAATTTTCCTCTCAACTAATTCATTTGACTCCTAAGAGCCTGTTCCCGAGGCCAAAGACTTAGTGGTCACCTTAGAAAAGCGAACAATATCGTACCTTTCTGTCTCAGCCCGGATCAGGGAGATTAATCCATTTAGCCAAATGAAACGAGAATATAATACGATATTGGACGATGCAGACTCTGCGAATCGTAATAACTTTGTCCCATCTCAGAGCTTTACATGATGCTCTCCGGGAAACTTTTCTCAAGGTGACCAATATATAAAACTAAACTGCTAAACAGCACCGAAACCAGCCTTAAGCGCCGGCTGATTTCAAACTGATAACTGTCACTTGTGTTAAAGAAAGAATTGTGGGTAGGGAAAAAAATGGAGGGGGGGTTAGATAGTAATTCTGTCTACATCCACTTCTACACAAATCTCTAACCACAAGACAAGCCAAAAAAACAAACGACATAAGCAAACCACACAGTAAACAAGCTATTAGACAGCGGCCGTTGAGAAAAATTACAAAATGTTTGCTAACCCGGTTTTCATAACTCCAGGTAGATATATATATAATTTTTTTTTTTTCGCGACATATGTACATGTATATTCATAGCCTTTTATCACAGCCCACGTTTCATAAGTCTAGTAAAGTCAGAGTCATCGACCTTGGTACCTATAGTCACAGTTGTATTATATTTAACTCAGTGGAGTTAAAGCTCCATGGATTATTAAACTGGTTCCAGAATCATTTAAAATGTGCTCTTAACTCACCACAAGTTATAATTAGACAAGCCACTGTTACTTAACATTAACAATGGAACAACTGGCTTTCTTTGTCCTCGATTCAAATCTTTTTTGAAACAGAGGTGGAAATAACTAGCCGGTACAAGCGGGTCGAAAATGAACGAAGAATTTAGTGGAGGTATATAGGGGGCGGGAGCTCGGGAGAATAGGGGGTGGCAGTACTGGGAGGGGTTTGGGAGATGGGAGAGGAAAGGGTAGGTGATGGGAGTTCTAAAAGGGTATGGAGCGGCAGAAACAGAGGGAAATTATCCAGCAATACTTAAAATGAAGGTTTATCAGCAAGGGTTCTTTAACATAATCAACGGTAAAATGAGCGGTAAAAATTTTCCACGGCGTTTGGAAATGAAGGTTGCCAAGGAAAGAGGGAAGAAAAAAACGACAAACTAAAAACTAACGTACGAAACTAAAATGGCTGGTAAGACGGCGAAACTAAACTGCACATTGGCAAGCACCACTACAACAAAAACTACGAATACAAAGCGGTAAAAAGACGGGAATAAACTTTTGCCACACGAACACTGGCCTACGGAAAAAGTGTATAAAAGACAGGCCTGATACCCTACAAAAAAGCTGGAAATTTTTGTGATTTATAGAAGTTAGTTTGCGCTACTGAACACTTCCAACAACAGGCATTGCTTAGACTCATTGCCAAAACAGATTGAGTTGAACAGTGATAAACATGCAAAGTGCATGTAAGCAAACCTGACGTTTTCAAATTTACTCGCTTTGAAGCTTGGATATGCGATGAGTGTGTACCAGAAGTTCCGAGACTGTAACACAGTCTGTCCTTTTCATGCCCTCGTATGATTTTCGCGCGCTCGTGGGCTTCACACGCTCACAGCAGCCAAAGGGCATCGCAAATCTCCTTTTCGCCCTCACTCCAGATGTTTCGTTTCAGCGTGGGTTCTTGATGTACGTAAAAATTTGGGCCGATTTATAGTCGAAAAAGTTACGTTTCTCTCAGGGGTCGACATGTTATCCAGCTAAGCTTTGTTTGAACAGTCTGTTGTATTTTTTTGACCTTCGATAAGATGATATAGTATTTTTTTTTTTTTTTTTTTTTTTTTTTTTGGCTCTCCACGTAGCACTAGCTGCAAAATACTTGTTCCACCGACGCACAGACAAACACGTGGCTATCGAAACGGTTTACCCGAATGACCAAAACCCTGAAAACCTTGTTCTTTTTTATCTGCTACCATCCGTCCCCGGGACAGCCTACGGGAAAAGTCTAGAGCTTCGGGTCCGGGGGCTGGGGTAAAGTGAGGGTGGGCAAATAAAACTAACTTTTCATTGTTTTTATTTTTCGTGTGTGAAGTATTTCTGGCCGCGTGAAGCAATGTCGACGGTTCTTTTCATGGAAAAGTGCGGGTATTCCGGTTTATTTGTTGATGCAATGTAAGTTCTCTATATTTTCTTCATAAATTATTAAACGAAACGGCATATTTAATTTGTGCTCGATGAAGAGTCCCAGGGTGGGGGTCGCGGCCATTTTTGTGCCCTCTACAGTGGGGAATAAACTGACAAGTAAGAAATAAATGGTAGAAAAGAAATATTTAGAGGCCGATCCTGCACTCTTTGTAAAGAGTTTTTTAATAATATTATAATATAGATTTAGCCAGGGCTAAAAGCGAAGCTCCCAGTAATAAAATTATAATTTAATTAAATCAAACAATAAACTTGTAATCCACAAATCAGTTAACTTAAGGGCACATATGTGACTTTTTAGGGAAAGCTAAGGCTAAGTGATTTTAGAGTGAAAAAAGAAAATCTTACATCGAGTTGATAGCCGTATATATACACCCAAAAATTAGCAATCACCTTCGATCACATTTAAGAGCCAAAATGGCTCTTGATCACAGTAGATTAGGCCTGGAAAACGAATTCTTGGATCGAAAACAAATCAGGCCGAATTTTTTGCTTTCGACAAGTTTGCCTAACAAAATCTTGCCAACAAATCTGGGTACGTGTAAACCAACATTTCGTACTTTTTATACATCACATCTGAGGTGAAACAGTACTATGAGGCGCTGTTTTTATCCACAGACCTCAGACAAAATGCAGTATTTCACAATTTTTCAAGACAAATTGCACTCATTCAATATTCAGAATCGTTTGTTGAACAAGAACTAATATAAACTTAACGTTACATGTTTATCTTTTTTTGAAGCATTTTTCTTAAAAGTGAATAAAAAAAGAATAGCGTTGATTTGTTTTATTGAAATAACCAGCATTCTGGCCCATGCAAAAACGCAGCTTAATCAGGCGGTAAAACCCTATTCATTTAATGTTGTTAATGTTAGAGGCTTCTAATTTTTTTACATACTATGAGATTTTAAAAATGAAATTTTTCAGCTCGCTCATGCTTAAGAATTTTAGCAGCCATTTGACTTGAAAGCTCTCTTGAATTCCTTTTCACAAATGATCGCCACTATTTCAATGAACGTGAACAAGACTAAACTTCCCGCTACAAAAGGGTTTACCATAGTGTACTGCGGGCTATTAAACATGATTCTCGGGAGCAACCTTAATTGAAATAGGTGTATACAATAATTACTCAGGCTTATCATTCGAGATGCAGCTCCTGAAAGCTATCAAGTAAGGCCAGAATCGCTTGAGGGACTTTTCAAGCCGCATCCAGCAAGGTGAAAAACGAAAACGATGTCATCCGAAATCGGATTTCTAACTTTGACAAGCGGCGCATTTCTCAACCAAAATTTCAATAAACAAACCAGCCATGAACAACAGAAGACTGTTGATAGCAGCCGTATTTCATTTTATGCATCCAGTGGAAAAAGACAGTAAAAAACATCACAAGTTGACAATAAAACTCTGTCAGCTTCAGCTGTTAAAGTAAACAAGTTTCAGGGTGCTGCATAAATTTTCTGCATGAACTCACCTGTCAAAGCATAAAAGTTGGACGGTCGTAGAGCGTGATCAACGCGTGACTATGGTGAGAAAAGTGAAAAGCCTCTGTCTTCCCTGCTTGTATTTTTAAATGAATGGCTGAATTTTCGCGTCCGAGTTCAGTTTGAAATCAAAATGTTAATAGCGCGGAGCCATAGTGACATTAACACAACACTTTCTGTCATCATGTCATTATTTTGCTAACGTTCTCTTTGCCTTTGTATTTCTCTTTCGCGTTGCCTTTGTCTATTCAAAGACGACGTTGCGACGTTGCGACGTTGCGACGTTGCGCCATGCTATTTCCCGCCAAAAAATCTCTAATTTCCCCTACCCCAAGAGTCCGTGCGGACTACTTTCCACACGGACGTACGCTGACGTCATAACCCAAATATCTCGGATGGATAGTTTACCAAATTATCTTAGTTATGGTGCTCCGCTCGCGCTTGCTTCGCACGCGCAAGGAGCCCCGCTACAAACTAGTCGTAAGGTTTTACTCAGGTAATGATATACACCAAATGGTTCCTTTGAGTTCACTGATGATAAATTTGCCTGTAAAGTTCATAAGACGTAAATTTGAGCACTTTCTTGGCCAGTTAAATAACGTGTATTTTAAGAAGAGGCGAAATGCTCTTCAGTTCAGTTGTGTCAAAAATATTACTTTTTGTACGACCATTTCGTGTCAATTTGAGTATTTCAAATTCCATTTAAAAATAGTTAATTGCTCCTGGATATTTGATCTGGCTTATGTCATAGGTTCAGCCAGTGTTGTATTTCGGCTATAAATTAATTGTATTCTAGGGTGCCATTCATTGTCTTCCTGTTAGTTCAATAGTTGTACCGCGCTGATTCGTTCGCGTCGATTTCCCTCTACCATTTTCGCCTCCCACCCTCCCTTATTTTAGGTTGTATGTAATTATGATTATGATGGTTGTAACAGTTAGTGTGATTCGTAGCTTCATTGCGTCTTTCAGCTCGTTATTTTTGTATCTTTTCACTATTTTCAATAAACTTCTTCTTTCCGCCAAACACTGTTTTGTATTTTTGTTTTGGGAGCAAAAAGGGGGAATTTAACAATGTTTAATAGATTGAAAGCATTTTGTCGACCAGTTGCCCCTCAGTAAAGGGTTTTTGTCCAATAAAATAAACTTTCAGATGCACCTTATCGACAAATTCTTGATTTTAGATACTGTACATACATTTTTAGCATTCTGCCTTCGTTATGCCAGTATGAAATTATGTCAGTATTGACACTACACTTTAACCTTCTTCACGGAGGCTTTCACAGTATATAGTGTACGTTAAAATTCAAGAAGACTTAAAAATATTCATCTTTACTTCATTTTATTACATTATCTATTCATAATGAGGGTCTCCCAGGGGGGAGGGGGGGTCCTTGTTCCCTTGTTCCCACACCGTTTCCTTATTTGTTTCCCCTTTTTATACATTTGCTTACCACTCATCACCGCCATCAATTCCCTCCCGCAAAAAAAAGAAAACTTAGAGAATAGATTGTATGTGACGTTCAATTTGTGTGAAACATCATTTCAAGCATTTGAGCGAAATTCACAATCCCTCAGAGTGGGATGAGCATTAGAACTAACCTTAACTGGTTAAAATAGGCGACAGGCGTCACACGACTGCTGCACTTAGATGAATTGGAAGTTATATGGCCTTCAGAGTTTCGCTCTAACTAAAAAGTCCTTAACAGATTTTCCCTTGCAATAAGATATGAGGGGAGGCTCCTTGAAGACTTCTCTTAGCCGTTGCTGGTTTTGTATAAGATGCCATTTCCACACTGGTATTGTGTAACTAAAGGTAGAAGTTTTTTTACGTGCGGATTTGTTTCTCTGTTGTACGGCTGTTTTCCTGTACGACAAATTTTACCCCAGAGAGGTACTTTCTAAAAATAGCGGCGGGGTAGCCTCTTTCTAACAAGCGGTTTTGAAAATTTCTAATAAAATGTGATCTGTGAGGAATTAGTCCTTAGGAGCCTAAGCGCTTTCCCTTTAATGAAGCCTATCTTCACGCCTGTTGGGTGACACGAGTAGAAGTTCGTGTACTGGAATGTTTCTGTTGGTTTAGCTGGCTACGGCGATCTGGGATTCCAAATCCTTCTCTAACTCGAAAAATAAAATCAAGCAACATCTTGTCACTTTCGCCCCCGATTCCCATTTCAAAGGACCAACGCATTGCTGGTTTTTCTTCGCCCTTTCTATAAATCGCAGCAGTGACACGCAGCACAAGACGATCGGCAAACGATCTATCCGCCGTCTTGGCAATCTGTGACAACAGATTCTTGCCAACGTGTCGACCCTCGTAACCTCGTACCCAGACTCCCAGCTGAAAGCCTTCACTTTGTTTCGCTTGTGTAAAGTAGACAAAACCAATGACAGTGGTGCATAGATGACCTTATTATATGGCTGAGTCTGTTTTCGCTATGCGATTGGTCAATTTGCGGTCCGTAACTTGCTATACGGACCAAAATTTCAAAGAAAATGCTCATTTCGGGGCTCTAAATCTCTTTACCTCGGAAAAAAAAGGTTGAAATTAAGTTACAAGACGTCTATCAACCTTTTGTCCTTCAACATTTTAAACTGTGTTTAGTTGTGAGCGAAGGCGATGAAGAAATCAACTTGTCATCTTATCGAAGAGGATTCTAGACAGTGTTTAAAAATTTCATCGTAGCACAAAGTTAAGAAGACGAAAATCGACTGGCAGAGATTCGAGATGTTTTGCCTAAGAGAAAATGAGTAATTCCTTCGACAAATATGAACAAACATGCCTGCACCCCACAATCTTGACGAGCTTCTTTGTCATTTGCAGTGTTTTTCCAAAGACCAACGAAAGAAAGATAGAAGCGACTCCAAGCCAGACACAATGTCCAGTTTTCAAAAGACTCCAGCGTCACATTGGCGAGTGAATACTTACAGTGCTCTTAGTTTTGACCGAGTATACTTAAAAATATGTCTATAACCCTGAGGACTGGGATGTTGACTTTGCTTTTCCAGATTTTAACCTAGCTTTGTTTGAACGAGAACGAAGCTGATGCAGAAACTGAATCGTAACCTTTCCGTGAAAGAAAATATGGTCCGTGTTTGAAAATTTTAAAGCAGATCACGCTTGAAGACGAGAATGAACTGGCAGAAATTCGAGAGGTTTTCCCAAAAAAATTAACGAGCGAATCTTCGACAATGACAACAAACTTACCTTGAAAAGCTTCTTTGCCTCTTGCAGTGTTTTTTTTTTTTTATACAAGGACCAACAAAGGAAAGATGGAAACTACTTCGAGAAAGACACAGTGCCCGGTTTCCAAAATACTCCAGCGTTACATTAAAGAGCTAAAACTTACAGCGCTCTTAGTTTTGACCAAATAAAAGTTTTCAACGTTTTTACTTTCTTGGAAACCCATTGTTGTGTGCTATTGTTTTCTTTCTGGATGGCTGTCAAATGATTGTAAAATCGCGCGTCCTGCACTTGTTTCCGGTCCCCAAAACTGGAATAAGCCATATAATAAACATCTTATTAGCCTCGTTTTTTCGGTCTCTACTGTAAATTACGGCCCGCGCGCTTTGGCTTGGGCCATAAATCGATGGAAAAAAACTCGGTCCGTAATTTACAATACGGACCGAAAACTCGGCTAATAAGAGGTATATATATAAATACAATCTCAGAAATAACGCTCGTTATTTCTTATATCAAAATGTTTTCGTCCTCTAATTTGTACAGTTTTGTTTCCCTGTTCTCTAAAAATAGGCTCATGTTCCCTTGTTCCCTTGTTCACCAAAACCCCTGGGAGACCCTCCATATTCATCGATAAAATGCCTGTTTGGGTACATTAAATAGAATTTCATGGAATTTGCGTTACCCCCGGTTGCGTGACGGTTTTAACATTTTAAAAATATGCAAAAGCATCGAAAATGAACTGCGCGTTTACCTCTCTCGACGGGTTGCTTTCAAATTGCCCAAGCTGAATTTTTTATATGTTGTACTAAAACAGTAGGGCTTTTCCGAGGTATAATAATTCTTCTAAAATTCCATGTACCAAGATTTTATCCTTCAAAGTTTCGCCAATTTTCATTGTTTATGAAAGCGTTGAAGATAGGAACCTTCGGGCGGTTTTTATCCGAGTAAAAAATGCATTATCTTGCAATACTTTTACTAAATAGTACTCTAACTGGGATGTCTTACTTATCGGCCAAAGATGAACTTGTTTTCTTGACCCGCTTTTCTTCCCGAGGGCTTTGAAAATGGTATAATTCAAAGGTTTTGGACCGACGACTATATGGTGTGGGGCAGCATTTCACCTGTTGCCGGTTTTCTCGAAAAAGAAAATTCTTTGGAAACTTTAATTGTGATTTTCAAAAATTTTCACTAAAGGGTTATTTCTGACTACATGAATATGAAGAGTTTCGAAATTCCAGTTTTGACGGAAAATTCTCGATATTTACAGACAGCCGCTCTTAAATTCTTAGCAAAAAGGCTACTATCATTGTCTCCACGATTAAATGATTACTCGATCTGTAACATTGATACTTCATGCCCTTGTAAAGCCTATACTACCTTACGGTTGTGAAATATGGGGACCAGAACTACTGTCAAAAAGACACATTTTGATAAAAGCACAATTGAACAAGTTCACATTAAATTTGCAAACAAGTATTGAATGTTCCATGGTACACAGAAAACACAGCCTGAAAAGCAGAACTTGGCCGATACCATCTATCTATAGACAAAGGCTTCCCTTTTATGTCACTGGCAAAGATTAGAACAAAAATCGGACACTACAGCTATTTCTACTGTACGTACCTTTATGAAAATTATTAACATTTTTCACAGAAACTGTTAGTTAGAATCTTTGGGACGCTTATTTAAACGAAGTATATGAACTTAGACCGCTGTTTAGGACTGAATCTTTTCACCGCCAAACCTCTTTCTTAGTGGGTTATTTTAAGAAGGCTAATGCTCATCTAGTCTACGCCTTATGCTTTCATCAAACTGTTCACGATAAACGCTGCTGACAAAAAGTGTTCGGCAAACTGAAAATAGCTTAGAACGCGGTATTGTTAAACACTGGTTAAACTCAGTTTAAATAACTGGCCTAGGAAAGAGAATGTTGGATTCGATCGAGAAGTTCTAAATGCTTATTTGGTCAATTTGTTTTAGGTGTTCACTCATTGACGCAGAAATTTTTACGCGTTAGGGTACTAACTGCAACTAGGCTAAACAAATATATAACACCAAGTTGCTTATAGTTTCATGATTTAAACAAAATGAAAAGAATGAATTTCGCATTCGCATTTTCTGTTCTGTATCTTATGCCTACCGTTAACTATATAAAAGCTTTTCCTATTCTGAACTTTGTACAGTATGAGAATGTTATTTCTTTTGGGCGAAATTTTGGACAGTTTTGTGAAAACTTTAAAGATATTCGTAAAATCTATCTTTAATTGGCCCCGTACCCACGCGATTACATATATATTCAAAGTAGACAGACTGCAAATTATAATAGTTGTTAAAAAATATTATCTACATGTCGAAACTGTTCATCAGTAGGAGGCCTAAAATGCGTGCAACTTATTTCTTTCCTGCTTGCTTTCTTCCTTTGTCAATTTATAGAAATATATTTCATTCACCTATTTACTTATTATTTATTTACTTAGTGGGGAAGAAGAAAAAGAAAATTCTCTAAATTGTGAAGGGTGGCATTAAAAAGCCAGAGTAGTTCAGTATCGCTTGTTAGTCCCTAACACTTTATGGCAAACAGAATGGGTTTTTTCTAATGCTTTTAATCTATAAACATATTTTGAGCGCGTTTCTCGTTTTGAACGTTTGACTACGTCTCCGGTTTTTTGATTATTTCCTTCCTAAGAGAAAATTGATTTCCTACCTTCGTATTG